TTATTAATTTTCTTTCATTTCTCACTTTAGCTTTAAATAATTTAATATTTTGCTAATTTTAAATTCTTTATTATCATATATTTAATATTTCTTGTGAATATTCTTTTTAAATTTTATTTGTTTTTGATTAAATTAAGTAAAATATCATGTTAGAAATAATTTGTAATTAGCGTAATAAGAAAAATATTATATATAGAGAGTTAAAAAGTGACTAAGAAGAATAATTAAGTTTGATAGAAGTAATTACTACTGAGTAAAGAGTAGTTAATTAGTATTTTTCTTTAATAAATACATATATTTTATTTTATTTTCTTCTTGCTCTATTGAGAGAGCATTTTGTTATAAGTAAAACTTATATAAATTATCTTATTGAGAAGATAATCATATTTTGTTAGAAGTAAATCTTGTATATATCATCTTATTAAAAAGATAATTAGTCATATAATCTCTTGAAGTTATAAAAATAAATAATTATTATGAATACAATTACTATTATCATTTTAAAATAATTACATATGCATAATCTTAAAATAGTAACAATATAAATATTTACTGAGCCATATATTTTACTTATTATTTCACAAAGTTTCATAAAAAGATTTTTAAAAATATTAGCATTGAAGTTTTCATGATAGTCTACTTAGTTGAAAATAATATTGGTATTTTTAATAATATTTGGAATATTATCTTATTCTTTAGTATTATTTTATTGTCATTCTCAAGTTCTGAAAGATTTTATTATTAAATCCCAAATGTAAACAGAATTTGAAATAAGTTTACCATGTATCTTGTTAGTATTACCATTTTGAAAAATGATAATTATATCAAAAATTATTACTAATGGATCATATCCTAATATTAAAATAATATCTTATTAAGAAACTTACATATTTTGTGATATATAATATAAATGACAATATGACTTGTTAAGAAAGACTTCTAAAAGGTATAGGATATTATTATTGCCTTCTAAGTTGGCAAAATGGTAACAAATATAATAATAATGAAATATAATATTATTTGATGACTTATAAAGAATATTTTTTCATTTTTCTTTGTCATAATAATAATCTAACTGATGTAATATTTTGAGAAGTTGCCACTTGAAAAGTATATAGCCATGTTTAGAGAGAAATTATTATAAAAAAGATGTGGAAATTTGATATCTGATTCTATTACTATTAGTAATATATATATACAAAAGTGATGTAATATTTTTATCTGATTTTGATTTAGGAGATCCAAGATTTTGATATGTTAAAAATGTATTATTATTATATTGATTCCAGTTAAATAATATAGTTCTAACTATACTCTCTGCAATATTTAAAACTAGAGTAACTTGCTTATATAATAATATATTTTAATTTTACTTATCAGAAGAGATAGTTCTAAAGAAGTACTAATAAATATTGATCATTATCCATTTTTTGTTCTCAATCAATGATGAATAACTTCACTCTAAAAAAGAACTAGTCATTAAAATTCAATAAAATTTACAAAAAAAAATATCTATTTATGATTTTTATTCTATATAAAAATAGAATTATTTGATTTACTACATAATATTTTGATATTACAAAAACTTTAACCATTCATATTAAGATATGAATCACTTTGTATTAGACCATATTATTTTTTAAGTTATAATATTAAATATACTATTTATTAGTAAAATATAATTAAATATTAATTATTTAATAATATTTATAAATTAATTATAATATTAAAAAATTAATAATATACTTAAAAATATATTATTTTTATTATATAATATATTTATATTAATATAAAATTACTATTTAAGAAATAATCAAATATTTTAAAATTAACTTTATAATTTATACTTTTATTTAATATTATTTAATAAAATTCTTAATTTAAAATAATATTTTATATATATAATTATCTTGATTATATTTAGAGATTTTATTATAAAAAATAAAAATTAAAATTTTTTAAAACTATTAATAATATTATATTAATTTTTTCAAATAATAATACTAATAATTTAATAAAATTATATTTAACTTTTATTTATCATTATACAATTTAATTTATATCAGATATTAAGTTTTTTCAAAAAATATAATTTTATTTTTTCTTTTATTAAAGAATATATTTAATAATTTAAAAATTATCTTAATAATAGTAGAACTACTTTTAAGTATAAAATTAATATAATTCTAATTAAGTTTAATTTAAATTTTTCTTTATTTTAATCTATTTTTCAAAGTATATTTTAACTAATTATTTTTCAAGTTATTTTTTTAAAGTTATATAAATTTTAATTTATATTTTTTAAAATTATTATTAATTAATTATAATATTTAATAATATAATTTTAATAATTTATAATTATTAAATTTATTTATAATACTTCTTCAAGAATGATTTTTATATTATAATTTAGATTTAATATATAAATCTTGAAGTTTTTTGAAAAAAATAATACTTATTCTTTTACTTTTAAATATAATTACTTTAGATTATATTTAACTTTCTATTTTTTGTAAAATATAATTTTTTAATTATATAATCTTTTATATGATAATTAACAAAATTTGAGTATTAATTACTTAAAATATTAAATATAATATATCTTAATGTATTAAATTAATAAAAACTTAATATTTCATTTAATTTTTTAACATTAGCCAGAATTATAATTTAAATTTTAATGCTGGCCAAAATTAAATAACTAATATCTGATCTGGATTTCAATATAATTTCGTGACTTTTGTAGATCACATGTGAGCGTGACCGACGTAACCGATATGACCACCCGATTCATTGTCGGGTTGATGGCGCAGCCCAATCAAATTTAATACAATGAAAATTCGAACTCAAGCTCAACTCTTATGATGGATGTCGACAAATTCTTTAAGCTTCCTTCTATTCCCAGCGGGAAAAACAAACGTAAGTTGCCCGCAACGCCCAATTTAGAACTACTTAAACGTTCACGTGTTGAAGAAGAGTCAGAGGAGGAAGACGTGGAAAAACCTGTCAGTGCAAGCTCTTCAAAAAATAAAGGTAAATCTGTTCGGATTTCAGACGAAGTTGAAGAACGCGAATATTATAAAGATTATTATGAAGAGAATGTTGACGAAGAAGAAGGAGGGAGGTTCTATGGTGGTGGGCTTACTGAGGAGCAATTGGAAATATTGGACTATGTAGATCAAGTTGAAATCAAGAATGAGAAGGTGTGTGTTGTTGATACAAAATAATCTGATTCTACTCTTCAATAACATTATTTAAAAGATCATTTACCTAACAAAAGACGGCAGAAACTCTCGATGTCTCTGGTGTCAGAAAAATGATCCTTAAGTTTGAAAAAGCTATAATAAAAAACCAGGAGCTTCGCGTGAAATTCCCTGATGACCCGCAAAAGTACTTTTTACTTAATTGTATTTTTTAAGATTATATAAATACGCGTAACAAATTAAAAATCATATTAATTATAGATTCATGGACTCAGAAGCGGATTTACATGAGGAAATAAAGCATTTAATGGCTTTAACAGAGGCGCCAGATCTAATTCCATTTGTCGTGGAATTAGGTGCAATCAGTCACCTTGCGTCTTTACTAGCCCACGAAAACACAGATATCGCTATTGACGTCGTTGAACTACTGAACGATCTCACCGAGGATGATGTGATGGGAGAAGACAACGACGAGGCATTGAAAGTTTTGATTGATTCCTTGGTAAGTGAACTAATCTATTAATAGCAACCAGGTATGATCTCTATTGTTCCCTTTAAATTATTTAACGGGATTTGTGATAACTTTTTGTTGTTATCGATATTATTATAAATAGGTTGAAAACCAAGTTCTGGAACTTTTAGTGCAAAATCTGAATCGATTAGAAGAAGAAGAAGCGGCTGACAAACAAGGCGTCTTTAATACGCTTGGTAAGATTTCGAATGGTTCATCAAGCGTAAATGCATATTATTAATGAATAATAAGAATTATTTCTTACTTTCGAAATAGGTGTAATTGAAAATTTGACATCATTTGATCCCTCGCTCTCTGAAGTAGTAATTCAAAAGACTAATCTAATGGAATGGATTTTGAATCGGATAAAAGTTAAAGCTTTTGATTCTAATAAACAATATGCCAGTGAAATTTTAGCAATTTTATTGCAAGATAGTCGAGGTACGAAGTACTTTATCAAATAGATTGAATTATTATTAAAAAACAGCTTTTTCAAATTTTGACATAATTAGACAATCGGTTAAAGCTTAGCGAACTTAATGGTGTAGATGTTCTATTGCAAGTGTTGAACGTAAGCATTTCTACATTTTTTTCCTATTTAATATAACTCAGATTCATTACTGATGCTTTTAATATATTATCCTAGAAAGGCCTATAAACGCAAAGATCCGAAAGATGAAGATGAAACGGAAATGATGGAAAATTTTTTTGATGCGTTGTGTTCTGCAGTCACTGAGCTAGAAGTTAAACAAAAGTTTTTGGAGGGGGAGGGTGTAGAGTTGATGCTCATAATGATGAAGTATTTTTCAAAAAATTTTTTGATTATTTCTGTCTATTTGAAATTGTTAATAATTTAATAATTCCTCTTTTAGAGAAAAAAATATGTCACGCATGCGCGCAATTAAGGTGTTAGATCATGCCATGTGGACAGTACATGGGAGACCCAATTGTATTAAGTTTGTCGAAATTTTCGGCTTAAAAACATTATTTGCGGCATTTATGCGAAAGGTACCGACATAACTTTATTAGTTTATTTGATATGTATATTACGCATTTTCGTTATGCTGTGTATTTTCTTGAAATAGGGCCTCAAAAAATTTAAAAAAATGTATAAATCATTTTCAGAAACCGAAGAAGAAGGTATAGTGTAATAATTTTTGCATTATTACCATGTTTCTCAGTTCTATTAATGCGTGTGTTCTTTTTAGAGCATATTCTAGGAATTATTGTTTCACTTATAAAAAATCTCCCAGTTGATAGCGATCATCGATTGCGATTGGTTCAAAAATTTACAGAGAACGATTATGAAAAAGTCGATCGATTGTTGGAACTCCGAGAAAATTATGAAATTAGAGTTTCGATAATCGATCAAGAGATTGAGGAAAAGAAACAGGTTTGATTTGCACTTTGCTTTTGTGTTTTTATTTTTTATTAATTGCATTTATCCTATTATAGGATCACTTCGCTTTTGTGTTTTCTTTATTTTTTTATTAATTGCATTTATCCTGTTATAGGAACTCGAAGGCGAAGACATCGATGATGATATTCTAGAAGAATTTTATAGAAAAAGGTTATCGGCTGGATTATTTACTCTTCAACTGGTGGACATAACAATTGCATGGATCTGTGGTGAAGATTTCAAAGTAAGTTAAGATTAATGTTGTGTTTATTACTTTGCATTATAGAACTATTGTTACCATTATCATTTCGATAATTTGCAAATTAAAAAGTTTAACATTATGTGCAACATTTGATTTGCTATTGTTAATGATGATGTTGATATGCATTCTAATGATTCGTTTTCTATTTTAGATTAAAGAGCATGTAAAAACCTTCCTTAATCGTAGAAAGAGGAGTTTGGAGGATATACGAAAAGTCTTGGAAGGTGATATATCTTTGTTCTATTGCATGTTTGATTTTCATAGTGGTTTACCCCCTAAGTTATGCCTGTATCCTAAATAAGGAAAATTTATGCTTCTAATTTTTTTCAATTTATAATAATCTTCATTATTAGAGTATTTGAATAATCTTGGAGACGCCGATCAAAATGCAGCAGGGTATGACAATGCAGAATTGCAACCACCACCACTTAATATTGAACCAATGATGAGACAGGAAAATAAAATTACAGACTTGGATGATAATGAGCAGAGCGCGAAAATAAATTCCCTCTTTAATAATAACAACATTTCTACTACTCGAAATGAGCAAGAAATGCACGAGAGGATACTGGTGCAAAGATTAATAAATAACTTACAGCTCTAGCGACACACATACGACAGTGCAATTTTTACCAAAAAAAAAAACACTTCTTTCCCTTATAAATTAGATTATTGCTGTATAAATTTTAAAGTATGTACATTGTTATTCTCGTGTGGTTTCCAACAATGACACCAGCTGTTTCTCAATAATTAAATTTTTTGGAAAATTGTATTACCGATAGAAGCTTAATTAAGTTACGACGCGACAATGTATGCTCCTGAAAGTTTCACGAATCTTATAAAGAGTCCTTTGTTTCTTTGTCATCTCCATGCTACTCGAATTACTTCCAAATTGGTAAACAAAGTTGCATCCTAATTGAATGGCCATTCCCATATAAATCTAACAAGTCATCCGAACAAAAAAAATTCTTTATAATAACAGAAAGTGCAAGTTTCACTTTTTTCTTTACGTTTCGAGAGAAAGCGCTTCTGTTTGGAACTAGCACTTTGTACATGATTTTTTATTATTATTATTAAAGGGAAAATATTTGGGAATAGCTTTGGCAGTTTCATTTTTCGTTAATAGAAATTATTTTGGATAATAAAGACTTTCAAAGTTCGTTCTTTTGTTTTCTCTTCTCTCTCTTTAAAGGGTAAATTTCCTCTTTCGAAAGCATTTATTCAATCCTTACTCACTTCATCCCTTCTTGTATCATATTTTTGTCATAAAGTCCACGCTGGCGTGTTTTTCTCACTAAATACCATTATAATCATTGTAAAATATCGCCGGCAACATTAATAAACTATTAAATCTTCAATGGCGCGTATACCACCATTCTCCACCACTCTTCTATTGACTCTATTTCTCTTGCATACAATCTGTAATGTCAATGCTTCCGGCGCTTCGCTACTTTGTGATCACTATCTCGTTTCTGATACCACAAACAACGCCGATGGAGGAGCAATTGACGGCCAACAACAAATCCAATACACTTTTGAAAACTCTCAATTGCAACAGGTTGATAGGACGCCAGAACCAAGCAGTAAAGGATTGAGGGTATGCATATATTTCAATAATTCTTTGAGATAAATCAATGCACAAAAGCTTATCGACTTTATTATTTTGTTTACTCAAATAACAGGGCATTCTTTATAATCGCGGAGATCCTTGTCAAAATAACAAAACGGTAGCCTCACCTTCAAACATCGCATCATTCCGAGTAGCTCTCTTCAATACAAGCGATCGTTGCTCAGTCTATCAACAAATCATAAATGCTCAGAATGATGGTGCTATCGGCGCAATCATTTATTCAACGGACACTTCAAATAGTGGTGATGATGATGATTCAACCTCATCCATCAATATTCCGGCATTCTACATTAATGCTTCGGCAGGTCAGAATTTGGAAGAAATGTTGAACAATTTAAATAGCACTAGTTCTGGTGGTGAAATGATTCGTGTCACTATGCTTCCATCACAGTCTAGCTTTCATAGTGCTTGGCAAATTGCTATTCTAGTGGTCGGTTGTTTGCTGGCTGTTTCTTTTTTGATTTCTGGTAAGTTTAGAAATTCTATTTTATTTTATTTAATTCAAGAAATTTTTATTAATATGCAATAAATTTTTTTTCTCATTATAACAGTGGCAATTCACTTCCGCCTCTATCAATTAAGACGTCGCGAACGATCAGCTATTGTTGCACAACAAGAAGCTAATGCTAGCTCTAAGTTGGACATTTACACATTGGACAAGTCTATCATTGAAAAATTCCCTACCATAACTTATAAAAAGGAATCATCATCATTAGATGATGTACGTATTTCGATTCCTGAATCATCTTCAGCGCCATCATCATCCATTCCTGATTCAAAAAGTCGTCGTGACTCTTCTCGTTCAATCACCTTTAATCCCAGGAAGATTGGTGACCTATCTATGACAGAAGAAAAACGTTATTCAAATGATATGTGCTCTATCTGTTTGGAAGAATTTCAGGATGGTGAAATCTTGAGACTACTTCCAAATTGCTCACATTTGTATCATACAGATTGTGTTGATAAATGGCTCAACACAAAATCATCACAATGTCCACTCTGTAAAAAAGATTGTACACCAGCAGAGATTGCGAAGAAACGACAAAAGACAAAACAACTTCAATCTCGACTCTCTGGTCTTTATGCCACTTCTTCCGGTTCTAATCATGCAAGTGAAGAAACTTATGATGATACAACTTATAATGTTCAACGTGGATCTATTTTTGGTAGAATTATTGGCATGTTTGGTTATGGTGATTCGAATGAAAGCAGTCATAATGGTCACACTCGTCCAAATGGCGATGATCCTTTTGCCATACAACAATTGCCTCCTGTTGCCGTAAGACCAGTAAATGTTGGTCGCATTGTATAAAGTGAAATACAATACTCATAGGGAGATTGCGTATTTTTCATCATCTTCACCCTCTCTCTCTCTCTCGCACGCACGCACTACTTCCTTCAATACGTACCATTTCATCATCAATTTTTTGCATCTATACACACATGTACAAAGTAACGTTCCATACATCAACGCATTCATATATTCATTCATCATCATTTTTAGATGAATATTACATCGCATTTCTTGTAGTTTATATATATCATATTAGCATTTGAGCATTTCTTGGCATTTTGGCATCTTCATATAAATAGACTTTCATCATTCGTGTACACAGCAACATTCTCAAACACAAAGCATTTGCACATTATTTATAGACTTCCTTTATAACACTATACCTGCATTTTCTTTATACATATACAGTATTTACCTTTAGTTTGTTAGTACACACACCCACACATCATGCAAATATTATATATACGAATTATGCAAGTCTGAACCAAATCTTTTTCTTGTAGTATTATTCGTGATTTTTTTCATGTTTCATTTTCTACTCTGTACTTTTTCTTTGTCAATAATATATATATATAAATAGTCTTTTACATACTTAAAAATCTAACTACCTACCTCCCTTTTACGCTACAGAAAATCAATTTTTCCCGATGTTCATTATTCAGTCTTTCCTCATCGTTAAAATGTATCAAAAATCCAATAAAAATCTCTGCAAATATCATATAAAGAAATTGTTTTTTGATGGTTTTAAATGTGCAAAAAGTTAATTTATTCAATGAATGAAAACAACTTTGAGTTGTTTTCATTTCGTGCTAAATGACTTATTTATGAGAATACAATTTGAAAGAGGGAATCGAGGATGATATCAAAACGTAGTCATGTCTCCATCTAGCCATTTTATATATCCAAAAAACCCACACCAAAAACAATCATTACGAAAACAATAATAATGTCAAAATGGTTCCTTCAAGTTCTTACTATTCTTCCTCTAAAGATTTGTTTAACAAAAAACAATCAAATTTTCTATTGTGTTTGCACCCTAGTTTTTAATGATTGTTAGCAATCAATAGCCGAAAATAATATGATTATGAATATAGAATAATAGGATTATTTCCAAACATGATATGTCGATTTTATGATTGTTTTACAGACTTGGCAATTTATAATACATATTTTATCTAGATGTCCGAGTTTAGACATCAAGGAAGATATCGATATGCATAATGGTATAATGTAAATTTCTTCGTCCGTAGCTTTCTAAAATTTATTGTTCAGTTTTAGACAAAAGAAAATTCAGATTATATTGAGAACTATTATATATTCGCTTGAACCGTAAGAATACGATCTTCGTCCATAAAACAACGAATTTCGATTTTTGGATTCCAGATAATTTTCGGAACACGCGATGACGGATTAATCGGTAAATTGTTCCATAATACTTTGGCAATATGTTGATGCATGCTGACGCTACAGAAAAATATAAATAGAAAGAACGAATAACAATTGATTATTTAGTCAAAAAGGTTTTCCCAATAGACAATTACATTACCTAGGATGAAAACAGTCAACATTAGAAACGCTCTCAATAGGAAATGATGTTAAGTTTAATTCAAATGGATGGTAGGAAAGACCAAAGGAAGGATTTGGTGGACGTGATGCGTAGTCAGCGACTATTCTTTTGATGGCTTTATTGTATTCTAATGTGATCTCATCCATTTTCTTGCGACGCTCGTCACCCTCTTTACCTTGAAAGAAAAACTAATAAATGAATTTTAGTCGCAAACTATATGACAAGAAAAATTGTCTTCACCTGGTAAAAAAGCACACGCACAACCGTATTGTATTTGCGGCAAATATTTAAACCAGCGACAATACTTTCGCCCATGAGCAAATTCGTATACTTGCGACACATTAAATACTCCCAATAGATTAACAATTGTATTCGGAATTTTAGATTCGATGGTGTCAAGTGTATCTCGAATGAACGCCTCAAAAACACGAGGAGTAACTCGTTCAGTTTTGCAGCTATTGCATATATCATTCGAACCGATGAATAGATTCAGAAACTAATTAACGAATAGAAATATTAATTTATAAAAAATCAACTAAAGATCATTGCACAAAAAAATTTGATGTTTACCTTGAAACTTGACATATCGACTTGTAATTCTTCAATGCGTTCCAACAGATAGTTCATTTCATGCTCAAGATTTATCACTGACGCACCAGATTGTGCCGCATTAAGTCGATCTAATTTTGGTCGATATTGATTTTCTGGGCAAAATTTGCCTAAAAATTGAATTTAAAAAATATTCAGACATGTATACGACTATTCGAATGAGTTTTGCCATCTTTACGTGCCGTCACAGATTTCAATTAGATGATCCCCTACAGAAAAACCAACCAAATCTTCTCGATAGAATTTAATAAAATTCGCCAATGATTGAGCATCTTCATCTCCACCAGCTGCAAAACTAACACCTCGATTCTCAAAAATATTGTGAATATGCAATGGGTGATCATGATATTTGCCCTTTGCAGCGAATGCGGCCGTAATACTATCACCCAACGCCATAACATACTTAATATCGTCGGGACGTAAATTGTGTACAGATTTTGGAATGGTGGGTCGAGGAGAGAGTGGTGGACATTGTGTTATGTTAGGCTTCAACAGGGTTGATGCATGTTGTTGTTTCTTGTGGGTTATTTTCTGTATGATATAATGATGGTAAGGATAATTATAAGCTTTGGGATATGGTGTTAATATTAAAGAGATAAAGACGGAAAGTAAAAGAAAAGCGCAGAGAAGAGTTGCAAGGATTGACATATTTGGGAATTTTTTATTGTATAGTATAAAAAAAGAATTGTCATTTAATATTCATATTTTACATGTAATATAGCGGCCGCCTGACATGATTAAATAGTAACTAAAAGTATATATCGATGCCTATCATAAATTGATCATTTAGCCATGAATTCGTGAAATGAAAATTTTATCAAAGATATTTTATTCTATGTAGAGATGGTTTGGACCAATCTAGTCTTTCCAAAAACGCAAACTAATCACTTCAGTGACATCACAAGTATATAACTAACAAGATTTAATATTTAATAATCCAAATCTTTTATACACAAGCCACCTATTTCACCTTTAATATTACTAGCTACAAAATTATTATTTGAATCAAAACGACATTTTTTCTGATAAAAAGCACAACAATTTATTGAGATGGTTTGGTCTAACTCAATCCACCGAGTCTTTCAAAATTTGAAATCCTAATTTGGAGATCAAATTCGCCTGAAATCATTGAGAGCAAGACTACCATAAGAAATAGCCTTGGGATTAATCTGAACTATGCTTGGTCCCATCTAAAAAGTCATTAACTCAAATCAAATTTCTTATAAGCCATTGTTAATGTAACGACTTGTAATGTCATTGTATCGAGATGTTTGTACACGAAATTTGATAAGAACATATTACCTATAATAAGAGAGGAGAATGTTGACATGCTCAAAGAGTCCATTTCTCCATGTTTCTTGCATAATTATGATTAATATAATGAACGATTTCGGGAATAGGACAAGTGACAATGACATTCTTAATAATTTCTTCGCAATTCTTTTTATGCATCAATTTATTACGTGTTACTAGTAATGATGATCTTCAGTGTAAGCCTATATAGAGATCACAGGATATTGAAATATACTAGCAGCCAAGGTATACAGTAAACGGCATTTGGTATATCGTTGCATTTTATATAATTGAAATTGGTTTCTCGATTTTGCTTCGGTAAAAGCTGACTAGCGTGTGCAATCAAAAAAATTATTTCTACATATAATTTTATTAAAAATCAAACTTAACTCGGGCAAAAATAACTATTGTTATTACTGGATATTTAAGAACAAAAATGGATAAAATTAGAAAATAACAAAAGTCAAAATAATTTTAAAAGCAATACTATATAAAAAATTGATTTTAATGAAAAAATAATTAAGATAGCGATTTCTGGATTTATTTACTTTAGTTAATTTGAAAATAACATTTCAGCAGATAAAACTTGAATCAGCATAAATTGTTGCTTGCGTTGCTTGTTATGAATCAATGTCTAAATATATTTTCAGTTTCTATTATTTATTTAATGAATAAATGTAATTGATAACAGATAAAAGAGTATTAATCAAGTAAATGATTACTGAAATTTGTTTTGCATGTCATTATAACTAAAATTCAAAAAACTAAATTAATTTTTCGTAATATCTGGAATATTATTCATTTATTCTAAGATATTTATCCTTGAAATTGAAAGAATCAATTTAAAATTAAGTATATATACAATAAACAAAAATGGAATTCATTTAAATATTTAAATATGAAATCAGTTCAATTAGAAAGAATTAATTCTGAACTTTATTAATAAACTTATATATTATGGGTCAGTGCAAAAAGATTTGTTGCTCAATTTAAAAATTAATAATTACTTCTAATAAAAATCATTCAAATTTTAACCAATCTTTATAATTTTTTTATTCAAAAAAAGTTGTTAATAAATGAGATGCATCTAACGTTAAAAACTTAATCTTTAATAACTTTTTTTATGTAAAATATGATAGATTCTTATATTTAATTAAATATTAAAGTTTTTTTTTAGAATATCTTTAGATAAATTTTAATATATTAGAGTATAATATTGAGTATTAAAATATAGTAAAATAATTATATATATTAACTAAAATTATAAAAATTATGAATGAGAAATTTCTTGAATAGTTAATATTGACATATTATTCATACTCTTAATACTTTGATTTATAATGATAATGATTATAAATATTAACATTTTTTTGATTAATACTAATTACTAAGTTTGCATTTGTAATTATAATATTTAATATGATCTTTTAAATATAACTCCAATTTATTCCAAATAATACTAAATTCTTTTTATTTTTTATAGATCTTAATAATTATATTAACTTTTTCTATAATACAAATATATAAATAACTTAAATATTTATTATATTTAAAGATAAAGTAAATAAGTAAAAATTAGAAGATAATTTATTAAATATTTAATCTTACTTGATATTCTAATTAAAATTTCTTCTTATTTATTATATAATTTTCTTAGTATATATTGTAAAATATCTGAAAAATTCACATAGAAGATTTAAGATATAGCAAAGTAATTAAAATAATATTTATATAAAAAACTAATTCAAGAAATTATAATTAAAAAACTTAATCTTTATTATGATAGTTGTTATTATTATTACAGGATAGAAATAATATCTTTAAATAAATAAATTTGTATTATATGAAAAATAAATAATTAATAATATATATTACCTAAATAGATAATTCCTCTAGAAAATACTTATAGATATATAAATATAGAAAATAAAATTATAAATAAAAATATAAAAAGAGTAATATATCTAGTTATATTTATATAACAAGAAAAAATAGAATTTCTATAAAGAATAATTCTCTAAGATAAAAATAACTTAAAAAACTATGTAATTTCTTTTGATAAAATCAATTGATTATAATATAATAAATTATATGTAAAGCAGTAAGATAATTTAGTATAATCTATAAATATATTAATTAATTTTATTATATATTATTAAAAATAAATTTTATATTATTTTAATATCAAAATAAAAGAATATATTTATTAATAAAACTAAAAAATATCTTGATTTATATTATTATAGAATTTTTAATTAGAATAATTAGAATTAGATTTTGTATTAGAAATAAAAATATTTTTTAAAATTTTAATACATAAGTTTTTTACTTTTATAGTTATCTTTATTTATAATTATTTATTTAAAAACTTATTCTTAATCTATATTTATATCTGTTAATTTTAGATCTTAATATAAAATAATAAGATATTAATAGTTAAAAAATATTAGTATATTATAAATAATAATAACAAGAATATAAAGATAAAATTATTATTTAAAATAATTTTTAGTTAAATATTATAATTTATTATTTTATTAATAAATAAAATTTATAATTTATACTTATTATATAAATTTTTGTTTTTATTTTTAATAAAATATATTTTTTCAAGCTTTTTAGAATTTTATCTTTGTTTATTAATTAAAAAATATAGATATTATATAAAAATATATTAAGAATATTATATAAAATATATAAAATATTATATAAAATATATAAAATTAATTATATATATAGTTATATAATATTATATTATATATTATATATAATATATTATTATATAATTTTTGAAATTATTTCAAAAAAATTATAAAATAGACTATTTTAAATAAAATAATTCTTATTTTTTTATAAAAATATTTTTATAAATATAATTTTTTAAAAGAAATAATATTAAATAAAAATATAATATTTATTAATAAATTAATTAAAGAATTATATAATAAATATTAAATAAAATATTATTTATTAATATTATATTATTTTTTAATTAATAAATTTATAAAAAAATTAAATAGAATATTATTAAAAAATTAGTTTAATTATATAAAAAAATATAATATATATATTTTTTAATATTTTTTACTTATAAAATAATATAATAAAGTTTAATAAAATTTATATTATTCTATTTTATCTATAATAAATAAGTTATAATATTTTTAAATTTTAAATTAAAAGATAAAAATCAAATTATTTTAAATAAAATAATTAAAAAACTTATATTATTATAGATAAATTAGAATTAAATAGATTTATCTAATAAAATATATAAAAATCTTAATAAAAATAAAAAAACTTATTAATAAATTAAAAATTATTGATTTTTTTTATTAAAGATAAAATCTTAATAAAAAAATAAAGATTTAATATTAATATTATAAAAAATTTTTATAAAAATAAAAAAATTTATATTATATTTATTAAATTTTTAATAAAAATATTTATAAAATAAGAATATTAAATAATAAAATTTTTAAATAAAAATTATTTAAATTATATTCTAAAAATAATAAATTAAAATTTATTATAATTATAAAAAATTAAATATTTCTAATTCTAATAAAATAAATTTTAATATTATTAAATTATAATTATTATTAATATAAAAAAATTAATTAAATAAAAATAAAATTTTATCAATTTTATAATAAAAATGATTTAAATTAAATAATTAAATATCTATTTAAAATTATATTATTCTTTTAATTAAAGATTAATTTTAATTAAAAAGTTATTATCAAAATAAATTACTTATAATAAATCAGTATAAAAAGATTTATTATAAAAATTAACTATAAAATATAAATAAGAATAAGATATATTTATTTTTATTACTCTTTTTATATATAAAATAAATAAATTATTTATCTTAAATTATATTAATG